CTATCTTTACTGGTTTTGTATCTCACAGTTTCATGATCTTTCTTTTTGCGGTAATGAGTGAATCCAAAACTGAACCTTCCTTTTTCCAGCAAAAACGCTTGATGCAAGACCGAATCAAGTTGGGTGAGGTCGTCACCGTGCGTCAAGAAGATAACTGAATGGAAGTTACTCATGCAATGTTCCTACAAAAATATGTTTCGTAAATCACGTTGATTTCGTTGTTATTCCCACATCAGATTATTGTTTTTTATACTTTGTTGATGTTTACTCATTTCCAAGCAAATGAAGGAATCTTACGTCGTTTGGTCAATGTTGTAAGAGGTTTCTCCATAAGTTACTCCCTACTTTATGGTTTTGCTCTATTCCACCTTTTACATTATGATCTAGCTTCAACTTCCAGTAAACAATGTCTATGCCACTACTTAGGGGAATCCATTGGCTGCTTTCAGACTTCGCCGTCCGTCCGTCCTCTCAATGCGTGCTGCGACAGCGGTCGCGTGCGTGCCGCGACCGCGCTTCTGCAAAGTGGGTGCGCTTCGTTGCGCGTGTCCGTCGAAACTAGGTCACGCCGCAGCCGTCGCACGCGGCGAGTCGGCCCGCGGTATGTGACAGACGTCGCAATTGTCACTGGGGCATACGCTTTGCGTTTGGTCCACGGCAGTCAGTTCAAGAAGAAGACAACACAGACAAACGCAAACCAATTGCTTCAATGACACTTGGTGGTACTGTAATGTCATCTCGAGACCTCAGTGTGTGATGCGCCGCGCGCGAAGTGGGCGGGTGACCTACTTTCGACGGACACGCGCAACGGACGTTCTCCCTGCAAAGGGGTTGACATTGCTGGCACGTGATCTACTGTTGTCAACACCTTTCTGGAACCGCCGTTGCGACACGCATTGAACGAACGTACGGACGGACGTCGAAGTCTGAAAGCAGCCATTCGCATGCTTTTGTTGAGGTGGAAAAACATGTTTTCTTTGCGCTACAAATTTTATCAAGCTTTATTACCTTTAGTGACTGACTCATCATGAAATACCAACAGAACATCATTCCTCGAGGGCCGTATATTTACCGAATTATTTCAGATGCTACTATGCTGAATGTACTTTTGCATATTCGGTGTTTGTGGAGTTGGATTGGAATAGCTACGCTCCCACTCGAGCTGCCATATACAGAATTTGTATTTTACTTTTTATTCAACATATTAATCGTCCAAAGGACAGTAGGGCGCTTCACAAAGATAATGATGATCTCGCTTTTTTCGGTTGTCTTTCCATTTACGGAAATAAAGTCGACTGGTCCACAGGTGACAATAGTCTTCATCGTGGGTAAGGTCATTTGGTTCCTTTGAAGCCCAGTTACGATATTTGCAAGTGGAACCGCTCATCCGTAGCCAATTATTTCTACGGCGGCTGCGTTTCAGCCCAATCCACGTAAAACGCGTAATTCCTTTCCTATCTTTATTATGGTGTGCAAGGTCTGCAACGAATGTGTTCTCCTCCTCACTGCATATAGTAACCAAACGGCCATTGAAGTTTTGGCATGTCTTTTCAGCTTTTTCAGCAGTCGCGATATCGCAAAATTTTCTGTAACATTTCTTAAACTCGATATTCCAGATCCACGGCGAACATGGCTCCTCTCCCCAGACGATGACCTTAGTCACTATGAGGACAATGATAATTATACGTGAAGTCATAATAGGCATACAGCTGGATAGCCCCGAAACAGTTGTTTTCACGAAGAAGCTCCTCAGACCTGGAACATGATTGGATTGAAGAAAGACAAGAACCCACAGAACCCTTTCTAGCGAAGTAATCTACAGATGTGAAACCATTCGAGATCAGCAAACACTAATAACCCCTTACCCACAGATCCTTGATCATGTTGCATACCAGTTTTTTCAAGTCTACAAATTGATATCTACATAACTGCATCTCGAACTTGGCCGTTCAATCGTTAGTATTCCTTGACACTAAAACAGAAGTAAACGCTTTTTCCTGTCATTAATATGGAAGTGGACGAGTTGTCACGCCGCCAATCCAACGGTGGATGAGTTTTCCTTCTACTGACGTAAGTGGCCTATTCCAAAATTCGACTCATCTACTTAGCACAGATAAGATAAAGTTGAGTAAACCTTCGCTCACCGAGAATTGGACGAGTTTCCCCACAGGTTTCGCAAATATTCTAATTTTCCATTTTCTACAAAAGAAAGTCTTAAATTGCACGACGCACAACGTATTCAGTCTGGTCATCTTCAAATGTGCCTTAAAATAATCATTTTCCATATGATCTCGTAGATGTTGAATGTTGCAGATATTCCTATTCTTTAAATATTTACTGCTTAACATCCACAACTACATCATCAGAACGATTTTACAACTTCAAACCACTGCACATAACCACAAATACACATCAAATATTCGTACTAGAAAGTTTTTGTTGCCACGAAGCGACCTCTCGAGAAAGCTCTCGTACCTTTTTCTTCAGAAAGATGTTACGATTGACAAGATCTTCAAGTTCTCTGAAACACTCCGAATATAATAAAATAATTGCAACATGGCATAGAAAGTGTTTTCGAAGGGAGGAACTTAAAAAACGGGTCTCGAAAGGACAATAAATGCTAGATTGCAACCCTCACTAAGCTCAGCTCAGCCTGAGGTACCTTAAAAACTACCCGATATGATCCTATCCAACCACATTACCCCTTACCCTTCTCCCGGACACCTGAGAACAGAGAACTTCGAAACGATGTTACGGCTTGGAACCAGTCAGGTAAAACCAGAGTTTGCCCTTTACAATACCCTTACATTTCAAAATGAATACCAACAGAGTTCAAAGGCGAACCGGTGCAAGCAATGAATACGCTTAACCTAAAAACAAAAACCTTACTTTTTTCTTTCGAGTTGCTCCAATCGCTTTCTCTCTCGATAACGGAACGCAGCCTCGCGGTTCAGCCAGCGGCGGTGGTTAGTTTCATCATCACTAGGAGGCTGAAGTAAATGGCTCTTATCAGTTGTAACTTGGAAACGAACATGTACTCACCTTCATTTTCACTCCACGACGTTTCACTGTTCTAATTTGATTGGCAATA